AATTATATCATATAAGTATAGGTAGGTATATCAATTAAAATTATAAAATTTTGTTAAAAACTTGCATTTTGTAAATATTTAATTTTTTTTATTTAGTTTTTCCCAATTATTTTGAAAATTATTGAAAATGTCTTACTAAGTACCAACTAAAACCAATGGTGCAGCTGGTCCATCCCCTTTAAAAAAACTCTGGATACTCCCATATATTTGATTCAACGCCAATCGTGATGGTTATTATTGTATTTAATGTCCTCTATACAGACGTTCCAGCGGTTCCGCTGTACTAAAATATGTCCACTGTCAAGTAGATTATGTGCTATAAACGATTGGACATTTAATATATAACTATTAGCTATTACACACACACACACACAAATACATAATATATATACAATTTCCTATAGGTACAACGTTATAATAATATAAGCTGTGGAATTTCTGCTGGTTTTTCGGTATGTGGTGGCTATAAACATTGAGGTACCATATAAGTTGCTATATATATGTAGGTACACCGCAGCTGCCGTTAGCGAACAGATTTACGATAGGAACGTTAGACCAAATAAAAAAAAATAATATACTTTAACTATATATATATACACTGAACCACTCTTCAATCATTCCACTAGAATCTAAATGGAATGATCTGTGAAAAGACGATTATTGTTAAATGCCAGTTTTCGTCGAGTGTTGATTATTTAAGCTATAATTAAAATTTGATTGCACGCAATACTTAATTTTTCATCGAGTAGGGTAGACGACCCTACAATTAATATACTAATATACGCCACAGTTATAACCACTGGCCACAACGAAAATGTGAGACCATTCTATTTTGTAACAAGTTGCAACCGTGCTGAAATAAAATATCAAATGACTCATATTACGTGTACTATCGAACTACCCAGTATAGTCCCTGTAGGTGTGCAAAGTTGAAAATGGGCCATAGGGCCAAAAGCCCCCTCCCACCACTTGTCATTGAAAATAATTCTCAAAAATCTAATGTATTATACAATAAAATAATTATATATTTTACATTTTACAGTAATTTTGTCATTTAATATTTTATAATTGTATGGGTACAAGGTGTTAGGCCTGTTAGGTGTTACGCCTGTAGGTGTTTAAGATGAATTATGAAACACTTTTAAAATATCATTATCATTATTTTCTTTCTGATCTTGGCATACCTAGATCACTGAATCTATTTCGACATGGCTAACCTTATTTTAATTATCTTTGTATTAGAAAAATAACAAGAATATTTTTAATTTTCATGTATCACTGCGATTGTTTGTTTGAAATCTGAAATAACCAATAACCATATTTTATCAAACAAAAATATTGATCATTTATATAATTATTAATTATTATAAAAATATAAACATTGAACACATGACAAATAATATTTTGCAAAAATTTGACTTACAAGGGAAAGGGGAGGGGTAAGCAAACACCTATTAACTTCCTTAATCCCTATAGTTACTCTTATGAGTACAACTGTACAAGTGACCCACTATCAAGTAGCCATAGTAAAGAACCACTCAAAAGAAAATTTTGTTAGTGATATAAGATTTTTAAATATTTATTGCAAATTACTTTAAAACAATCTGAAAAATTAAAATAATAAATAATTCATTATAGTTCTATCAAAGCATTAACGTGTCGGTTAGGTATAAGGTCTAAGTTTCAAGTAGGTACGTATCAAAAAGATTTTTTGAAAAATCAAAAATGGTCGGCATCACTGGATCATCCCCTAACTTTTGACCTTCTGACTGATATTATAGGTACCCTTCTCAAAAATATTTTAAAAAAATTACTATAATATTTTAATATTCAAATATATAGATGTATCTATTATATATTCTGTTTTTATTTGAATTGTATACAAAACTTCAACTAAGAACAAAATCATACCTTAAAATTATAGGTATTGACATTTTGTATATTATCTTATAGGTAGTGAAATGCTGAAATGTGTTAATAAATGAAAACGCTGAGAAAAAAGTCATAAAATAATCATTATACATCATAATTTATACACAACTATAACAATAATATGTTAGCATACCTTAAAATATGATTGTTTTTTTTTTTTTTAATGGTATTATTCCACTGATTCCGCTGACTGGTATTCCAATACGGCAATACCCATTCCCCTAGGCCTTAACTATAGGTTGTTTCAAGCTACTTGCAGGTACTGATTAGTCCTAATAACAATATTATATAGGTCACAGGAGAACCCACAAATGTATTATTTATTACAACGTTACCGTATATTCTATTTACAAGTATATTATACTTATACATTATACATGTCCACGGAAACAGTTAGAAACGATGAAAATCAAAAACCTATTACTATCACCGGACGCTCGTCAGGTTAATTGCCATCGCACAACATATTATTATTGCTTCCTTCTACGGTTCTACCTGATATAGTAATGTGTGTATACTGTGTATTCTCTGAGAACATAAATAGTGTCATAAGCTTTTTATGTTGAACTCTTAGCTTCTAAAAAATGTATAAATCGTTGATCATAATTTGCATATTTATATGTATACACTATACAGTATTATAGTCATAGATGCTCATATAGCTAGTTAATTATTACATTGAAGACTCATTACTAAATATGAGTGTATAGTGAATGTTTTGATATACCTAGAGTCCACCGTTCGTCCGTTCCTATTATACAGAAGAAGATAGAACTACAAAATATTTATGAAAATGTGTTAATTTTTGTTTAAAAAAAAGTTTTAAATTACAGTACCTAAGGTATTTTTAATAAAAAACTTAACCTTTATTCGATTCCAGTGTCAAGTGATCCCAACCAAATATTTGAGTGTTTTCCAACTTTCTATCAGTTTTCACAGTTTATCCAAATGTAAAATGACGTTTTTCTGTGGAACGAATTCCACTGTATAATAATTGTATAAAATATGAGAAATATTCAATTCGAGAAAAAATATATTTTATATTTATCTGTACTTTCGAGGCTCAAACGTTATTGTCTATTGACTATAGTATTTAGGTACATCAAAATAGCTATCGAACAACGGTGGCCGAAGGGACGGATTCAAAATTTTAAAAGACCGTTTTTTTTCTTTTACTTTTCTCCAAGCAATTCAACGCATCAGGAATTTAATTTCGATTGATATCACACTGGTATATGTGATAGGGATGGCATTGTTGAGTACATTATGATTATATATATATAATATATATAAAAAAATATATATATTTTTTTTTTTCTTCAAGAAGATAATGGGCCCCACTGAACATGTTCGTGTGTATATAATATTTATTATATGTATATGGCGTGCTCTCGTGTATAAAAATAAAACCTGTGACTTTTCAAGTGTGGGTACGCGGTTGTAGGTGGAACAGATTATGGTGCAAGTATATGCGACGAGTATTTCAAAGCGTATATTTAAGAGTTTTAGACGTGCGCTGTATATTACATAATATAATATTATTATCATACTATTGCGTTTTATATTAATATTATATTATGTTATTACCTGGAGGTCATGATCGCCGCCGTCACGGTGATTAGGGTGTTCAATGCATACTGGCTCTAGGTTTTCTAAGCCACTATAGTAGGCACCTAAATACCTAATGTGCACTCATATGCAGTAAGGGCATCTAGATAGTTATCGTAAAATATTATTTTACGCGTGATAGGTATCAACGTGATTTTTTAAATAACAAAATTTCACTCCACATCTTTGTTTTATACGGAACAACGGAACAATAATAAATCAGTTAATCGAACAAACCCATTTGAAAAACAAATGTTGACATACCTCTCACGAGAAAAAAAAATTAAAATGAAAAATACATTTTTTCAATCAATTTACTCAATTATATTAGGTATCAAAACAATATATTTTTTATACTTGATAGGTTTAATAAAAAAACAAAATGATAACATAATAACTAATAATTATACATTCTGGGATAATTGGCCCGTACAACTTAACCGAAATATCGGACACTATATTATTAAAAACCGAGACTTATGGCAACACTATAGGTTGGTGTCCGCTGTTCACTATAGCGTCTATATAGTGTTAAACAAATAAAAAGTATAAATCCTTGTGTCTTATATATTAATTTTACCTATATAAGCAAAAGGAAAGATATTATATGTCAATATATGATTTACCTATAATTTTTGATTGTTTGTTGAAAAAAAGACTAGTTTTTACCAATATATGTTTCATGGACTAAATATTCTGTATGATTTGCAATTTTACTTTGCTAATTTTGTATTATTGGGGCAATTAGTATTTTTTATTTGTACAGTTGTAGGTAGGCACTAAAGTAATTTTATTATAACTCAACAAATGGTAAAAAAATATATATATTAATTTTACAAAATTTTATAAATTTGAGTTTACGAGCTGATAACTTGTGAATAGATAAAACTGTATAATACATATTAGGTACAAAAAATGTACATTGCATTGCCTTGTATTTAAACACGAAAAAAAAAATAGAAAACCTGATAAAAATTACCGGTCCCAAATTCCCACTTAGGGGAGGAGGCAATTACCCACTCTGATCTCCCCCCCTAAAAATGGGCGTAATTTACATTTTATGATTGACTCTACATATATAATGTTACTTCTTTGAGAATATTCAATATTGTACAGACATTTTTGACATGCCTAGCTCACGCGTTAGTTTTTTTACGCGTTGAAGAACACATTAATACATAATACACTTCTCCTCTAAGGAAATTACAGCCCGAGTGGATACTTGACTTGGTTCGTGACTCATCGATATGATAAATTGAATAAAGCGTCGCAAAGTGCAATAGGACTTCGTGGTAATTTACTATCGTGAGTTACCACCGCCATCCACGAATCTCGATACTCCGATACTCGTTGTACACTCGTATACCAAGGTTCTGATTTTCAAGTGTTCTAGGTGAGGAATCGGTAGTGTGCCAGCAGTACGCGGCGCGGTGATCATCCGGCAGTCATGTCACCGCACTTCAATCACCGACAGCCACCGCAGTACGCCTCCCGCAACGACGACGGTGACGACGACCACAGTTGTTACTACCACTCCGGTGTCCCAAGCGTCGCTGCCCCATCAACGATCGCCGGTCAACAGTATTTCGGCTCTGCCCCGATAACTTCCGGTTCACCGCGCCGATGACGGCGTTATCATGACCGACCGCCGGTACAGCGGCAGCTGCGGAAGCAGCAGCAGCAGCAATAACAGCAATAACGGCTACAGGTGTGGGATCAAAACTCAACTGCATGCACCGTCGTCGGGTCGATGTAACTACCACAACAACAACAACAACAGCTGCAAAACCGGTGTCGCCCGACCGACGACGGCCGCCATGCACTTAAAGAAGACGTGGAAGACCGCCGCGGTGATGCTCCTGGCCGTGGCCGCCGTCACCACGGTCACCGCGGCGTTTTACTTCAATTACGCGGCGACCGCGTGTTGCGCGGTCGTGCCTCTGTCGTCATCGTCACTGCTCCAGGAATCGTCCAACACCGCGGCCATGGACAACGAGCCATACCGGTCCAAGTTGGTTGGTTCTTCGGCGACACGCCCGTCCAAGTTGTACGCCGTGTGCGAAACACGCGATAAACTACGCAGCCCCGCCGACCGGGTAAGTGCCAGAGTTTGTATTTCGTAGATAGCTTAGACAGCGAACGTCCATTACGAATATGTACGCGTTTCATCCTACAAAATTCGGGAATACGAAATTTTGAAAATATGGTACAATCGGACCTTTCGTTTTCATTCCGTTATTATATAGTGATCGTCATCGATAATACTACATCTGTATACCGCGACGACCACGACGATGGCGCCGCCGTGTGCCGTTACGTATGTCGGCAGTCGATGTTATAATATGTTCATCCTTTCATCGTTGTATTCATTCGGCGAGGTCAAACATTACTTATTTTACTTAAATAATTTTTACTCAAGTCCATGAAACGCGTGTTAACCCGGCTGGAGGCTGCACATCTCCTCCACGTTTCTGGTTTCGTGTCGTGTCTATACCATTTTAAATTTTCATATTTTATCAAAATATTATCAAATATTTAGTTACCACACGACATAAAACTTGAAATATTCCAACTGCATGGTTACGTTTGGTTAGGTAAAAATCATTCGATGTTACCATTTGGTACTTTTTCTTCTTCTTAGATGAAATCGATCACTAGGACTAACCCGACGTAAGCAGCCTCGCCTCCAGCTTTGGCTATCCGATGATTCTACCCTCCAGCTTGAACCTCTTCACATAACGCTTCCTTGTTTCCACTTTAACTATTAGATTGATAAATGGTATCAAATACATGGTTCGACGAATGAAAACTTCTGTATAAAAACACGGTTAATATTATGCAACCACATAGTCAATTAGTTGTGGTTACTGCCTTACTGGTCACTCGTGTTAAACCACATAAAAATTGTCGTTTAGGGTTTTCTCCGTCTTACAAATGTTCAACATGGCAAAAATTGTTTTTCACGGGAAAGAACCGAGTAGGGTACAGTCATAATCAGTGGAGTATATATTTTTTTTTTTTGGTGGCGGGCTTAATAAATAATTAAGTGTATAAAACAAATACTATAAAAATACTTATGAGTTATGAATTAATAATGATGTTATTCCATATTATTCCATTCTGAGGGGGGGACTGAGACTCGCCGAAAATATTCCTCTGGTCATAAAAAGAAACGAAAATTTTACCATATAAAAAGGAGAACTTAGGCTGTGCATTATCGTTTTTTTTTTATTGATATCACTTATACAAAAAAGTTCTTCTTGCTTCAAAATCCATTATTGTTGGAGTTTTTCAAACTAGAATAACTTTTTTTGTAGTTCCGATATCGTAAAAATAAAAACGATATTGCACAGGCAAAGTTCTCTTTTTTATGTGGTGAAAATTTTGTTTGTTAGTTTTAAATGGGTTCTTATTCTAATTCTTGGTTCTTTCCCGCGCAAAACAGTTTTTGCTAGGTTTTATATTTTTAAGATGGAGACAATACACATCCCACACAGCATAAAAATATTTCCTAACCATGGTAAAAATATTTTCAAGAAAATAATATAGTTGTCAAAATATTTTAAAAGTTGGGTAAAAAAATAGGAAATATTTTAATTATATTCTTTGGCCAACATTTACAAAACATTTTAATTATATATTTTCAAAAAACATTTTGACGGAAACTTTATAAAAATATTAAGTCAACATTTTTATGCTATCATATATACGTAGTACAATATTTTGTTATAATGAGAAAAAAAATTAATATTAATTACTCAAGCACTTCAAAATATTCACAAAATATTATTATTTCCCAAATGCTGTGTGGAGTGTGGGTGTGGCGTCCTCTTGACATATACATTATACATATTATACTGCTTGACGAAACATGACAGTAGTTCCAACGGTCTGACGTGAGTCCGCTGATCTTGCACAATGCACCTGCGCCCTAGAATTTTTCGATTTTACAATAATTATTATTACTTATAATATTTGTATAGTATAATATAACTTCAACCTCTCGAGACTTCACGAGACTTCACCACCCACCCACCCCTTGTCAGGATGTTCCGCCCATTAGTATAATGTCATATAAGTATAACATATTGTGATAGTATAAGATGCGTAGGTACAACACGATCACATTTTAATTTTTAGTGCAGTAAACTCTCGATTATTCGCTGTATAGGATGGCACGGCTACGGTGGGATAAGTGAATTTCACGGTTAATCCGCCAAATACAAATTGAAATAAAAATGCTATTATTTTATTACTATAAATTATATTATATTATGTCATATTAAATAGTATTTACTATTTATTATTTAATTAAAATTAGTAATGGCTAAGTACACATTGTATTTTTATTTAAACATTTATGTAATATATGCTTATATAACATATAATATTATATTGCACATGAACCAATATTTTGAGAGTACTATACCACAGATAATCTACCAGCGGTTAATCGAGAGTTTAATGTAATTAGTATATAACATTATAAAATATAAATTAATGGAAACTTTGGTTAACTTAAATTTTAACAATAATTTGTTAATACTGTTATTCCCTGGCCCCTGCTGTACGTCATCTTCATTTTTGAGGGTAATATATTTAATATTGACGAAATACCGAGCTTAAAGTTTAAAATATGAGATGACATGCCTTTGTCAAGCCTTTGATGATATTGTCTTTCTTAGGCGGGTGCCCACGAATATTCGAAGGCTCGTAAAGGATTTTTGTTATTTTAAATATATTATAATTATGGTTTAAGGTGGTAGAAATAGTATATTTATCGAACCGGGAACAAGATAAGTAGGTGTGTGATGAGAGTTAGAGAAAAAAAATAAATGTAGGCAATTGATTTGTTTGAATAGACTGTAGATTTTTATATTCAAATTAAATTTTGTTCCAAGAATTCGAACGGCATTAAACTTGGACTAAGAAGAATATAACAGATTCAGAATAATATTCAGATCGTCTATTATAAACATAGATAATTACACCTCTCATCACGGTTTCAATGCGGATAATTGACCATAAAAATAATAAAAGTCTCTATGAAGCATAGATTACGAAAGAACCTGAAGAGTGGGTCTTGTCTAGTAAAAACATTACATAAACTTTAAAATAATCTAAAAAATAATAGAATACAACCTAATAATGATTCAAATGAGAAGAAACATACAGGCCAGATAACCAATAATTTTTTTTTTTTATTATAATGGAAACCACTGCCACCAATTTTGGCTCACTGGCGGCAAACTATTATATTAAAAAAAAAAGAAAACACAACTAAAGGAATGGATCACCGGTTGGTCTCAGTCGACTTTCAAGGCCGGGAAACGAAAAAGAAGTGACGGTCGTCTTCAAACAAGATAATATACACACTACATAGTAATAGAAGGGTGGGGAAAAATGAATAATCTATCGAAGTATAGTTATTTGTGGGTCCGTGTCTCACGGACTGTGTGTTTTGGTTGTATAACTATTATAAAGGTGTGAGAATCGTCGTGCATGTTGTATCTTAATAGTGCACAGTATTTATCGACTCGACTTTGGGCTTTCTCAAAGAAACCGGCGCTGAATGACAACACATTATAATATAATTATTATATAACTTACAAATTATGCAAAAGATAAATAATACGAATAATAATTATTGGTATTTGCATTTGCATTGTATTTGTATGTGACAATCGAAAAAAAGGGGGAAAGTAGGTAACCGCTCTGCTGAACAGTAAGAGTCAAGTGTACATCGCCATTGAGTAGGTCACAGGCGTAATCCATGTGTTAAATATGAAAAACAATTCTGAGTCAGTCTATTGTTAAAAAATATATTGCTTTTAGTTGTTACTTAGATATTATAGTAATTAATGTTACAATTTATAGTCATACGGTATAAACGATAAACTATAAAAAGGAATTTGTATAAAATAAATCTAAATATTTTGAATGCGTATAGTAAAATACAAAAATATTATATACCTAGGTAGGTATTAAACGAAAAGATTGAAGTCCCAATGTTTTTAACAAAAATTGAATTTGAAATGATTATAAAAAAGTGTGTCTATAATAATCATGCATCTTTAATAATTAAAAATATCTATAATAAACACTTCTTAAAATATTTGTATTCAATTTTCAAACTTTTTTACCAAAAAAAAACATTTTTTATTTACATTTGATGCAAAAAAAAAAAACAAAAAAAAATTCAAAATGTCAAATATTTATAAATAGCTCAAAAGCTTAAAAATATTTTGAAAATTTTAAAATTTGCAGAAAATGCTAATATAAACATTTGGTAATAATTTTAAGAAAAAATAATTTAAACCAAAAACAAAATCGATTTCGTCAAAAACTGAATTCACGTAAAAAAATTCCTTTTAATTTATTTTGGTTTTGTTTGTGGTTATTTAGAAAAATACCGAGAGTTTTCAATTTTGACCTTTATAAATTACTCATTAGGTCCAATTTGCCATCAGAAACCACCTTCCTTCCTTCAAGTGGAAAATCAAAGCACTGTTTCTACTACTTTTCGTGTATAAAGTCACAAAAAAAAAACCAAACTCACAACATTTTAAAAGCAATACGTCGTTTATCGCTTAGAATCTAAAATCAATGTTTTATTTTTATCTGCAGAAATAATGGAATTTTTACCAACCGAGAATTGTAAAATCTTTTATAATATAACCTTTAAAATCTTCTTTCTACCATTTGTTTTATATAGATCAAAAAAAAAAATGATATCCTACTAAAAAAATAAACCGTCCCATCTGACTACATTTTTCAACTATCTACGTAAATTAATATAAACAATAAACTTATGAAGTTATATTCCTACATAAGCAACTTACCTACCTTGCTTAAGTATGCTAATTATTTTAATAACCTTTAAAGAACCATGAAACTAAAAAAATGTCTTTAGTTCAATTAAGATAATTAATATAACTAACGGTGGTCCAAAAATTTGTATACGTCGATTTGTTGAGATGCCCAATAGAGATAGCCACATGACGTCACTCGGTCTAGGTTATTTATTTATATTTTTTGTTATATTTTAACAAAAATTAAGGAAATCATCATACATCCGTGGGTATTCATAAATGTT